TTTCGGGAAGTTTTTTCAATATTCTCTTCCAAGCACTTGGTTCGTTTTGCCAAGGACTTGAAAATTTCTAACTGATTTCATAATCCCAATAGTTATTCTTCGGCGCCAGGTTCCCAGGGTCGCCCAGGGTGATCCTGGCAAGATTGCATCCTTCGATTCCATCCCCCCTTTTCAGGAATTGAGCATGGGTGTAACGTTTGGCTAAGTTCCGCAATTGTCGAAGTCAGCAGACCGCAGGTAACATTGGGTCCTAAAATTCTTAATCCAGCCGCTTCCTTGGCTAAAGAGTCGGCAATGCGATAACCTTTACTCCTGTTGTGCCCTTTAATCCACTTTAGGATAATGTTATCATCTACCAAGGCTTTCGCTAAATCTTGGTGGCACTCTATTACTAGCCCTGAGGTAACACGTTATCTGTTCAAGGCTAATAGGGCTTGTCTGTTATCAGTGCAATTTGTTATGTTTTTGTAGCAATTGAGATACCAGCCAGTTATGTTTGAACCACGTTGGTATTTTTTCCATTCCCCACGTAATCCTCAGGCTTAGTGATCTGGAGTACACTTCACATCCTGTATCTTCTTTGGTTTTTGAGCCGTCTGTATATATACGTATTGCATTTGTAGTTTGTAGAGTTCATTTAAACCTGGGTTCAATCGCATCACTGGTTGCCTGCAGCATTGGTTGCGCAGTGAGCGCATCTCGCCATAGGCTCAACCTCAATTGACCCATTCCTACTTCGAGGTTTACACCAGCCGTGCGCAATCGTGACATGACCATTACTGCAACCTCCTTAACGTACAGGTCCAGAGGAGATAGGCCAGTAATTAATTCCGTTGCCGCGGTTGTTGTTGTTCTTATGGCCCTGTGACGAATTCCATTGACCGAATTCACCCAAATTCAAGAAAAGACAACGTCTGCTATGGAACATTGTCATATTTTCGTGAATCTACCAATAATATCGCTCATTTTTTGAAAAAGAATGCTTAGATGTGGCTTACAGAACGAATAATAGTTGAAGTAAATTTATCAACGACATTAAAGACAAAACTTCATTGTTGTATAGATCAGGAGTAATACGTTCACTTGTGGCTCTTTTGCAAAATTCTATATTGGTCAAACAGGGAGAACTTTGAACCAGATAATTGAAGAGCATAGACGTAGTTTCTTGAAAGAGGAGACCAATTCTACAAGCCATCTTTCATCAGGAGGACATGAGTTCAATTATGGATATGACGTGTTATATTTAGAAGAGAAAAGTTTAAAACCCAGTCTTTCCGAATGTTTAGGAATTGATAGATTCGGGAATTCGGGTGATGAATCTCTCAATATGCTTTAGTTTTTATCGTTTACAAAATAGTCATTGTTGAAATTCTCACAAATGATTATATTTTCAGATCTTTCTTCAGCAATCTGTAGTGACTGAAACGAGCTGTCAAAGGATAAACCAGTTGCACCATTTGGCATATGCAGCATATTACATATATTTCAATTTAACATTATGAGGACAATTGTTCCTCTCAAAGTTTCCAGTTATGATGAATATACTTCTATATCCATTAATATTTTCAACTATTCGAAACTAATCTGCTCACTAGCATATGAATTATNATGACTTCAGGTACCGGAGACTTCATTGGAATGGTGAGCGATTTTAGTGGTAGAGAACCGACTTTTATAGGAAAACCTTCGGCGTATTTTGCTCAATTCGTAAACCAGAAATTCGATATTGTCGATCCAAAAAGAGCTTTATTTATCGGGGATCAGTAAGTTGAGAGTGCTATCACATCTTCCCCAAATATGAATTCACAAAACAAAGAAACTTTTATTTCCAGGATTGATCCAGATATGAAGTTTGGTTCCACAGGAGGTTATCAAAAACTATTGGTACTGAGTGGAATTGCAAAAATTGAAGATATCAAAAATTGGAAGCATCCTGAAGAATACAAACCTGAATATTACATCGAAAGTCTGGACGTTTTGAACGATATTCTGAAATCGATTAAATGAAGAATTAGACACACAACTGAATAAAAGCAGATAACAGGCCCTATGTCATTACAGTGTGATTGAATCTTCTACACAAAAGGAAATATTCAAATAATATATACTCGAAATGAGTTTTTAAATGTTGTTTCTGTCAGAAAATATATTGAATATATATTGAACAAGTAGGCTTTGGACGACGCGGCGATAAAACAACAAGAAAATTATTCAGTAGTAGCTATCAAATGTTGAGAAAGTAATTAAAACTAATGAATGAAACTTCAACAATAATAATGATGATGATAAAGAATAAACAACTAAATATATTTATTCAGAGGAGGTGTTTGAAATGTATATCAGCTTCTCCCATACACAGACGACACCTTTTCTAATTGTTTTTTGCTATATTATTCAGTTCAACATAATAGGGGAGCCCAAGCGGGGATTTCGGGATTTACTAAAGCGCCGCAGATTAATATACAGAGGGATATCTTGTACTCCAACAAATATGAGCCCAATATATAAGGCCGCCTGTGAGGGATAAAGATTCAGATTAGTAAAAAAAAATTGATCATCAGAAATTCTCGAGCGCGTCAGATCAAGGTAGGGTGAGTTAATTATCTGCTAAAAAGTGTATATTCCAGTGATCTGACAATTTGAGAGTGACGAAAAGGAAGGGGAGGTCAGCAAAGTTTAAAAAGAAAACTTAATTTCGACATTCTCGAGCGTAACAAATTTTTTTTCATTTTGAGATAAATGATTCAAGGATAACGAAAAATATATAATCTGACGATATTCTGTACATTTTTCTAGGGGTTATATGGCTAACAAATAATTTTTTTTCTTTTCACTTTCAAGTGGCAAGTGAACATCGAGCGTTCAGCTTGCGGCTTGAACCATCGACTCACACATCAGCCGATTGACTGATTAAATAAAGCACCCACGTCGAACTGCCCGCCTACCGACCGATGATTGAGTAGAATGTCACCAGACTTTGGTATTTGCCTCATTATTCATTCATTCACTATTTGTCCCCAATAAAAGTCGAGTTACTACCGCATTCAAAATAGTGCGGAATTGCAATCCTTATTTACATATTTGTTGACGCTACTGTTCGAATGAATTGAGTATCAGATATGACTTCAATTACGAAAAGTCGAGAACTATCGCATAGTTTTCAGAATTGTTCATTACAACATACTATTTATATTTCGGGAATATCAAATAATATAAAACATTCCTTAATGGAAATATTCGCCTTGATGATCGATATACTTTTGCATTTGGTTTACCACGCAGTTCACTTTGGTATTCGGGAACAAGAAGAAGCCATTGGGTGGCAAATCAGGACTATACGGAGGATGAGTCATCAAATCGATGTTCTGACTGCTCAAAAATTAACCTGTTGACGAGATTTGTAGAAGTTCGCATTGTCATGTAAGCAAGGATCACTGCTTTTTCTTATTTATGCAAACGACTTGATACCATACTTAAATAGTCTTTCGAAGGTACATATGCATATGCAGACGATACAAATGATCTGGTCACTGATCATAATACATTATCACTTGTAGAAACAACATAATCAATATATGAGAAACTCACATATGGATAAAAATCATTCAGCACTAAATATCAGCAAGACAGCATTAGTAAAATTCTCAATGCAGAATACCACTGAAAGTTTTAAAATATATGAAAATAGCAAACTTGAGGTGACATCCAACCAAGAAACAAAAGTGCTAGGTCTGATTCTAGATCATAATCTCAATTGAAGTCCTCATATAGATTCACTACGAAAGAACTGTTATGCACTGAGATTCATGTCGAATCATTGTGGAAGAGAGGTTCTCCTAAATCTGTATTATGTAACGATTGGCTGTCACTTGCGCTATGAGCTCCTCTGATGGAGTGTGCTTCGGTGGTTGGTTTTACGAATTTCTCCGAAGACTTCCGGCAAATAATGTTCTTGAACCACTCAGATTTGAGCGTTCTACATTGCTCAAGCGGAACAGAGGCCACATGACCCATTTGGCCGAAGAAACAGACGGTCATTTGCTTCGCTGTGCTTCTTGCACGAACAATTTTATCCAACAAGAACACATTTTTTTTCACAAATGAGTGTTCATGCGAAATCGAATGTATTGAAGTGGAATTAGTGTGCAAGGATGGCTCTATCTTACAATATGTCACATGACTATCTTGCATTATAAGTTCACGCACTGCATCTATGTTGTGTGGTACAAAAACCGATTTTGGATGACCTTCACAGAATTCGTCAGCGACCAAACTACGACCACGATTGAATTCACTATACCAGCGATATATTGTGGTTTCTGATAGTGCTTTATCGCCATACAAAGAACTGAGTCCATCGACACATTCTTATTGAGATAATCCACGTCGGAAGTTATGAAAAATATTCCAACGAAAATCTTCTTTTAAAATTTCCATTCTTTGGTAAAGTTGATTTTTTTAACTCACTGTGAACAAAACAAATAGCACTTTTACATCAGAACGTTGTGAGCACGTTTGTACTAAAGAATGTCAAACTTATGGTGTTGCCGAATTTTAGGTACCTATAGACATTAGTGTTGTCAGTTCCCGAAATACAAAAAATAGTCCCCCATCGTATAAGTGACATACTTATCTTTCACAGCACCGGATCTTTAACTGTTAAAACATTGCCTGCATTTATCATGTAAATGTTTACATAGATTCTCTCATTATCTAATCTTATTCAAACAAGAACAGTTTGACATATGGTTCATTTGATTTCCAACTGAATTTGAAACTAGAGAATCGATATGACATTGTTGAAAAATTTAGCCGATGTTTCCAAGGAGGAACAACTGAAATTTGTTGAATCTTTCGATCATGTCCTCACGGATATGGATGGTGAGTGGATTTCATTTCATAACAAAATGAATAATACTGAGTAGTTGTTATTTATAGTTAACGGATTTATTTGCTACACTTATCGGGTGTTGACTGAACTTAAATATTACGCAGTGAATGAATTACAGTCTCATATATTCACATTCCCAAATATATCACACCAGTAAGATTTTCCTTTAGATGTATTCGATCAAAAATATGATTTTCCTATATTCCTGTACAGACATACATTTCATCAGGAGTATGAGTATACTGCATGGACTGAAAAGTTTTGTGCCTAATACATAGATGTCGCTAGTCTTATTGCATACACCGATTTTTCAGTTAGTACTAACCTTCAAGAGAAACCTGTTGAAATTCCATGTTATTCTACGCAGAACTTTGTGAGTTATTCTGCCAAGAGTGACACTACTTATGTTATTTTCAAAACGATAGATTCACCCTGCTTTTTGGTGGGAAAATACCGTTCAAGCAAAGCGAAGGCTTGGAAAGTGTTATCAATTAGGTCTGCGCTCCATCAGAAACAATAATTGAACGTTGGTTTTCTGACTTCAAACGTAGTCGTAGAGACACCGATGATACAGAAAGCAGTAGACGTCCAAATGAGGCAGTAACACCAGAAAACATTTAAAATATCCACAGAATCGTCCCGTGGGTTGGGCAACCTATCGGCCGCGTTCCCAGGTGCCTGATAGGGGAACGGCCAGGGGACTGGTGGCCCTGTCCGGGAAGCCAATGTGGCTTTACGGACGGGGTCGCCGGAATCCAGGTCAGTGGCAGAAATAAGTAAGGTGAGGGGAACTGAAACTACCCAAAAGCCTTTGCAAAACATGTCACCGTGGATCAGCCTACCGAAGCTAAGGTGGAAGGAATCGTGCCGACAGCTAAATGGCCGCAGGGTGACATGCTGTTATGAACGATCCCCTTGGGGAACTGGGCGAAACCTCATTGTGATCAGCCTACTTCTGGTGATGCGGGGCTCTGCCAGAGGTGACCAACTCTTCCCTTGCTACTCGTGGTAACATACATGAATGAAACAAACACAAAACAGAAACAACAAAAACCAATCCCGAGGGTGGATAGAAGTGCTCACCTCAATTTGAGGCGGTGGCTGGGGATGAACAGAAATGTCCACCCCAATCTACCGCTTGGAATGAGGCTGAACATAGCAGATCACCTCGTGTAATACAAAGGCTAAGGCTTAAGCACATTTGCGGCGCCGAGGCCAAAAGTAGAAAGGGATCGAAAGAGACAGGAGTGGCAGCAACTATAAGTTCACCCTCCTCCTCCCACACTCGACCTCAAACAGCTAGGACCCTTCCTGCGGCAGGCATCAAGAGCTCCATCTTGAATAAAGGCAAGGAATCCGCTGCCCCAGCAGGAAAGTTCCTCACCTGTGCACCTCCACGGAAAGAACCCCAGTAATGTCACTGAACCTTCCAAAACCTTCGCGGAGGCCACCGTGAGACCCCTCAAAGTTGCCAAATAGAGTATGTGTTCGGCGAATCTTGGCCTACACCTGCCAATATAAAGGAGATGTCTCCTAGTGACATGTCCACCTTCCTGGAAAGGACAGGATGGACGATGAGCTAGGAGGATAACTCTCCGGGAGGATGTACAATGGGTCACATGTGGCCTGAGTGATGTGGGTCTACACTCCCCCTCCCCACTCTACAGATACAGATCCACAAAATTGTTTTGAATGATCGAAAAGTGAAGTTGCGTGAGTTAGATGATATTTTTAAGATATCGAAAGAACGTATTGGCTTCATACTACCTGAGCATTCGACTATGAGAAAGCTCTGTTCGAAGTGAGTACTGTGCGAGCTGTTGACCAACAAGAACGTCTTGAATATTCTGAGCAGTGTTTGGCCATGTGTAAACATTACAATCTGGAATTTTTGCATCGATATGTGACAATCGATGAAACATAGATCATAGAATCGTGAGGTGTAGTTTTTGAAATTACTATGGATCTTCATCAAGTAACGGCCAAATCAATCAGAAAGAGGAAACATATCTCTAGTAGTTCTTGTGTGGAGACGCAATGACCATCTGCCTATTATAAACAGAATCTGACTCAGTTTTTCGCTAACTCCATGAATATATAGAAAAAAAACTTCTGCTTGTTCGTCTATACATTGAGCTGTTTGGGATGTGAAGTACGGGTTTGCTAAAGTTGGATGAATCTTTGGATTCGGAATTTGGAATAGTAGTTTTGGTGAAGCGCGGACTTGAGTTCGTCTAGTTCCTTAGGTCTATTGAGGAGGTCAGTGCTGTCAGTGAGTCTGATAGACCTGTGTATGAGGGTATTTAGAATGGAATTCAATTGGGCAGATGATAGTAGGACTCAGCTCTAATGTAATGGTTAGTATGGGTTGGCTTTCGGTAAACAGTGCGTGATAAGGAGTTTTCGACTTCCATTGTGAATTTTAGGTCAGAATATAAGGAGTTGATGTGGTTTGAGCATGTATGGAGACTTTCAAATTCATGAGGCCACATAACAAAGACGTCATCTGCGTATCGAAGCCAACACGTAGGTTTAAGGTCAGACATGCCAATGGCTCTGGTTTCAAAGTCTTTCATTTGAAGATATGCAAATACTGGGGAGAGTGGGGACCTCATGAGGGTGCCTTTTATTTGTTTATATGATGCAGTGACTGATGAGTTTAAGAGTGTCTCGGGGAATTAGTTGTTTCGTTTTGAGGATGGACAAGGTTTCGGATAGTGGTATATTCGTGAAAAGGGATACAACATCAAAGCTGACAAAGATATGTGTTTGTTGGATATTGGAGTATTTCATGATTTCAGTGAAATGATAGAAATTTCAGACATATGATGAGGACTGTTCGGCTCGTAGTTGGAAAGTATCAGCAAAGTGTTTGGCAGGGGCGTGTGTGAGGGATCCGAAGGCACTGACGATGGGATGAAGTGGAATGTTTGGTTTGTAAGGTTTATATGGTTTTGAAAGATCATATATATGAGGTGTACGAGAAATCTCCCATTCCAAAGGAGGAATCTTTTCGAAAGCAATGACTCAACAGTTTTTTGGAACTGAATAATGAAAACAGTATTTTTGATTTCTAGTGGCAGCATATCAAACAATCTGGATGCGGGAGAAAATAACCCCTTTCACCAATAACTCATCTCACTTTTTATTGCCCTGTCATATTTTAATACGTTGTGTCATGAGTATATTGTTCATATCGGAGAAAAAGTTTGCCTTTATTGATAGCAATTGAAATATTTCAAGCACAGAGTAATCTGATGTCTTAAACCTGTTCCTCTTGGTATAATGAATCTAAGAGGTATTCATAATCATTTCCGTGCATTATTTTCAAGATCCATTTCTCAATCGTCTTTATAAATGTTACATTAACACCACCCATTCCTGAAAAAATAAAAGTACATTTCTCAATATGCTTGAGTTTTCATCATTTATAAAAGAGTCATTCTTCAGCAATCTGTAGTGCCTGTATCAAGCAGTCGAAGAATGAACCAATTGCCTTATTTTTGGTGATTCATAGGCAGTTATGATGTCAATTTTCTCGCAGTCTGTCTTGCAGCATATTACATACATCTCAATTTGACATTCTGTAGACAATTGTTGCCCTCAAAGTTTCCAGTTATGATGAATATACTTCTATATCAATTACTATTTTCAACTATTCGATAAGGATCTGCCTACAAGCATACGAGTTCTGAACATTTTTTCAGGAGTTATATGGCTAACACAAAAAACGTTTCCATTTTCGGTAGAATGTATGAATTTACTGAAACAGCGAGGAAAAATCATTCGATATGCTACAAACAACCCTCTCGTCAACGTAGTAGATTTATGGAAAAAATCAGTTCGGGAAGGTTTTAACGCAGAAATTGCTGACGTTGTCAACCCCATCTTGTCAGTTATTTCCTATCTGAAGTCCATCAACTTCAATAAAAAATTATACGTCGTTGGAGCAGAAAAGTTGAAAGAAGAACTTCGAAAGGAGAATTTCAAACTTGCTTCAGACCCTGTGAGTATTTTTGTTTTTTTAAAAACAGCTCCAAACTTCTGATCATTTTTTCTAGCCTGAAGTAATTGAAGAATCTATTTCTGTTGCCTTCCAACACATTTCAGATGATGCAGATATAGGTGCGGTAATATTTTCATTGGACCTCAGCATGACCTTTATTAAACTCCAGAAGGTGTTGACCTATTTGAAAAGAAAAGACTGTTTGTTCATAACTACGGCTAGTGACAAGGAGGTACCTATTGGACCTCTGGGACCAATCATAGGTGAGAAGATGCAATTTCTATCCAAACTCTTCTATTTGTTACAGACGGACTGCATTATTTTAAAAATGGAATCAGATAGGCTGCATTTCATCAAAACTTTTTCGAAATTGACATTTCTGAAAAAAGAAAGCTTTTTTGTATATTTTTGGTCACCAGGAATGAATTAACTTCTCAACTCTTGCAAAAACACAAAATACTAGAACAAAATATTTTTGAAAACCATCTCAAAAGGAAAAAATATTGATAATACAATTAGGCCCTACCATGTGAATAGTTTAGATAAATATTTCAACCTTCAATAAAAAGTAAATATACTTTTTTATCGACCTTTTTTGGGTATTCTTCACCTTGTACAATCTGAAAAATATCAAAATTATAATGGAGAACTTTATACAAGTGTAGAAAGGGCAAACTTTTTAGTTTACCCTGATAAGTTACTGCGTGAAATCAAAGTATTTCTCACAAAGAAAAATGTTCTATTTATCAGTAACTTGTTGTATTCAAGAATTTTGCCTATCAAAAAAATAGCTAAGAAATAATACAATACTTATCTTTACGTTTCAGATTGTGGAAGATAAAAAATATCCAAAAAAGGTCGGTGAAAAACTGATTTTCCTTCACGAAAAATGACTTTTGTTGAATAAATATAGTTAGATAGATTTTGTGATACCTTGTATGAGGTTTTTCGTTCACCAACCTCGTTTTCCTCACCTCATAAATCGTCTGAACTCAACTCAACAAGGTATCACATTCTAACGTGTGATTCCAAGCAGGAATCAAATAACAATGAACACTTCAAGCAATACAACACTAACTATAAACCGTCTACAGTCTGATAAAATATCTTTAACACTCTCAAACAATGCGAATTGAAATAACATACATCCATAATCATTCGTATAATTTGCAGAATTTTATAGATATACAATTCATTGAGATTACCGGTCATTATTCGTATACTTGATTTAATTTTTGATCGACTTTCACCAATTTTCATGGTTTTGCAAAATTGCCAAGTTTCCATTGTATGTAATAAGAATTTGAAACCCTAAATATTTATACTTTTCTCAATTCGTTAACACAATGGTGTCTTTATAAAACTCACTCAAAAAAATATTTTCAATTACTTCAGGTACTCGACACTTCATTGAAATGGTAGCGATTTTAGTGGTAGAGAAGTGACTTTTATAGGAAAACCTTCTGCGTATTTTGCTCAATTTATAAACAAGAAATTCGATATTGTCGATCCAAAAAGAGCTTTATTTATAGGAGATCAGTAAGTTGAAGTTCCTATTATTTGCATATTCTTCAAATATGAACTTGCAATCGAAGGGGCTATTATTTCTAGGATTGATCCAGATATGAAATTTGGTTTCACAGGAGGTTATCAAAAACTATTGGTATTAAGTGGAATTTCAAAAATTGAAGATATCAAAAATTGGAAGCATCCTGAAGAATACAAACCTGAATATTATATCGACAGTCTGGAAGTTTTGAACAATATTCTAAAATCGACTAAATGAAGAATTAGACACACAACTGAATGAAAGCAGATGTAATGACATAGGCATGTTGCCTTACCAAACATGTACCTGAGTATCACCTCATGTGTGATAATTCATCTTTATTTTCTCAACAACACGGTGTACTGTATCTAAGTACCTATGTATGTAACTCGTCTCTTATTTACCTAACCAACCTGACTGTTATTATACAATGGTATATTATCTTGAAGAAATTGATTTGATCTACTGAAATATTGTTAAAAAACTTGATGTATTGAGGAACAAAAGACAAAATTTGCTGACTTTCCGAGAGAAAGTTCAAAAATTTTCAATCATCTCAAAAATTTTAAAAGCTTGTGATACTTTTCCAACTTTGATATTGTGCCTATTTTTTTATAAAAAATGTTGAAGTCACCAATCTCTCCCCGAAAATAATTATCATACGTGAATTGAGAAAGTAAATAACAAAGGACATTCGAGAAGACCTACAACTTTCTATGAGTAATAAAAAAATAATTGTTTTATTTTAAATGTTTTTGGGTTGCCTACTACTCAGGAAACCTTCTTTAAAATCATCTGGGATCAACAGTGGTAACATAAAAATTAAATAAAAAGTACAGTAGGATTTTATAAATGCTTATAAATGCTACAAAAACCCTCTCCTAAAAAAATGAAATAGACCACCAAAGGGATATTTTCTACAACACGGTGAAGAAACGACTACAGTAGCTCTGCGTACCGCACATCCTGAAAGGATTACTAATATCGATAAGTAATCACAATCGAAAATGTCTGCCTCAACGTGAGATGATTACACAAAACTAAACAGCATTTTCTTAAGGAAAACTCTTCACAATATCATATATCACAATAATAACAAATCTATCAGAAACTATAACTGATAGTACTCTCAGAATCAAGAACATCATGCACTGAATTCATTCACCAAGAATGAAAAATGCTTGTAATCTCTGTAGTAATCCAACATAGGTTGAAAAAGGAGTTCACTAACAAAATATTACCCTACTGACACTTCGGTGCCAGTGAATGTGCTCATTGTTAGCAATAGTCACTTGGAAAAACCAATATACACTGTATTTCTTTTGGTATGATGAACATGCCTAGATTTTCCCTTTTGAATTTTTTCATTGCCATCGCTTGAAACTTTGCCAAACAAACATTGAACAACTGGATGGTAGGAAGATTCATGTACTTCTGGCAAAATCTGGCATGTGTGTCGCCTCTGTTTGGAAAATAATGAAACAGCAGAGCACACGCTTTGTGCCTGCCCCGCTACAGACCGAATCAGGTTTTCAGAGTTTGACAGAGCCGCACTCTTACCATCTGGCCTGAAATATCACTCCCCATATAAACTAATCGGCTTTGTTAAGAATCTTGGTTTATTTGGTCAAGTGTGAATAGGTGTGAGCTACAATAAACCCTTGCGGGTTGCGGTGGAGGGTCGAATAGAATCACTCACTTTTGACCTAACCTAACCTACAGTTTCAAAAATGCCGTCTTTCAGTAATATCTTCGAGATGAATGTAGTGTAAATGTGAAAAATTGAATGAACATATGTGAATCATTGAAAAATTTCAGTTCTGAATTTTTCGTAACAAATTGAACAAACTTTGTCTTTTGTTTGTCACCACATCAAGTTGTTTTGACAAATACCGTCATTGTGCCGCCATTTTGCATTTGGAAAAAATGGCTACTTGTTTTATGTTGTAGAAAAAATTTACCAATATTTGGAATCATTCAGAAATGTATACAGGGTTTTATTCAAACTTCGCAACATTGGTATATTTCTGACCAAACTACAAGATATTTTCAATTGTTTTGCTTCGACAAATTGTACATCAGTTCCTGATTTCAAATTAATCTCTCCACAAACGAATGATTGGCACCATGTAAAATGATTTTGTTGTCACCCGACACAGTCAATATTGCGAAAAAGGCAAGCTAATAAAATAAAATTGCTATTTCTCACTTCTGTATATCGATGTATAAAAGCTGAGCACTTTTGAAATATTAAGATAGAGTTCATAATGTTTTATATATACTGTTTAAAAAAATCTGTTTAAAATCTGTTTTTCCGTTAACCAGCTGTCGCACCCCTACGAACGACAACCCTCAGGAGTCGAAACTTGTGCGAGCTAAGGATTAACGAGGTCTTACCTTTTAATGTGTGATTTCTAACACGGGTTGGACGATAGCAAGTGAAGATCGATCGTTCAGACTAGGGCTTGAACCACCGACCAACACGGCAGTCAATTCGAGTAAGTGAACAAAGCACCCACGCCGAACCGCTTGGTTACCGACCGACCGAAGTATATATACAAATGAATGTAAAAGGGTCGACTATGTGACGTTGTTATTGACACTTCTTTGTGCATTTTCGTTCTTTACCACATTTTTTTGTTTGCAATATTATTTATTTTTTCTATTTAACTTCAACCTGAATCATGGTTCACAGAGTCCTACAATTACTATTGATATGAATAAAACTAATGATATTTATGTAATAAAGGGGTGCTTTAAGTCCTTGGAGAAGTGTATTTTCTTAATAATTTTGATATTTTTGTGAAGAAAAACGGAGTATAGGTATTTTTACTTTCTTCTTCATTTTAACTTTATTGATAATTAGTATAGAATCGATATCTTTCCGATATTCAGAGATTTTCGTTTGATGATTTATTATTCATGCTCATTTTTGAACCTTGACCGTAGATAACCTAAACAAAGAACGTTTTCACATTTGCACGAATCAGCTGGGTATTTTTTACAAGTGACATATTGATAGTTATATAACAATCTAGCTGAACTTGTAACATATACCGAGTCGATGATATAACCGAATCAAACGGTCACTTTTTATACATTTCAACTTGGACTGGAACTAGATTGTTGTTGATTAATAACAGAAAATAAATCCATTCTTAAAGCTATCTACCTCTAGTAGCGTATCCACTCTTACTCATGATTTCTCAAACATTTTAATCCATTTATAATTGCTACACTTATACGGGTCATTTTTATTTCCTGCAGAATCTTAATGGTTTTCCATTTGTGGTTTTGTAGACATGTTCGTATTGAATGTCTGAAGCATGCGGATTCCATTGTAATATCCGGAGGATAAAACTTTTAATGGCAGTTTTTTCGGTATGTGGATATTGAATTATCATTGTTCCACTATTAATTGTTCCGAAAGTAATTGAAAGTTAAATAGAGTTTGCTTTTAGAACCAGCCACTATTCATCACTTTCGGCTGAAACAAGAATTCCTCCTTTTAAATATAGAAGACAACGACTCTTTTCGAATTACGCTGTTAACATTTTAGCGCAGCCTAATCACCCCAATTACCCAACATTCAATGAAGACACTGATGACGTTTACGAAAACCGACCCACGATAACAAGGCCAGCTCAAATGAGGTTCAAAGAAATACTGAACTTTACTCAGTATACAGTTCCAGCCATTTATAATTATAAACCTGGAGAAATTCCTCCTTGGGAATTGGGAAAAGTGAGAGTGAATCTTAAAATCAGCCATACTGCAAAAGATGGTAATCAAGATATCTTGTGGGCAGAATTCAACAAACTCCTCTCAACTTAAACTGGATTCATAATTATTTACACCGATGGATCAAAAACCCAAGAAGGTACTGGATGTGCGTTCACTAGTCAAGGTTCGACTCACAGTTGGATATTACCTACATAAACAAGTATTTTCACATCCAAATTATACGCTATCCTACAAGCAACCTAGTTTTGTCAATTCCATAATGAAATACAATTTCTCATTTGTACGGACTCCTTAAGCTCACTACACGCACTAGAAAATTCATTCAATAAAGATCCACTGGTACAGACCATATTGGCATCCATACACTGGACGAATGGGAATGGAAAACACATCGAATTTGCATGGACTCCTAGTCACCAAGGAATCTCGACTAATGAATTAGCAGATCAGGCAGCCAAACGAGCTACTGAAATACCTGATGTTTGTAATGATATTCCTATTCGACTGGAAGACGTGAAAGATTATTTTAAACAACAGATTATGGATGTATGGCAAACTGAATGGGAGGAAACAGATGCAGAATTGAAAGAGGTGAAGCCAAAAATCACACCCTGGAGGCATTCTATTCCAAAGACACGAAGAGAACAAACTGTGATTACACGCTTGAGAATAGGTCATACCAACTTAACTAACATATTCATGCTCTCAGGAGAACAACAACCATTATGCCAACAATGTAGACAGAGACTAACAGTGAAATATATCTTACTAAATTGTGTCCAATATGATGAAGCTAGACAACGATTTGAAATACCAAATTCTATGAAGGAATGTTTGAAAAATCATAATGAAAGTCTGGATAGAATTATAAATCTATGAAAGCTATTGGGCTATTCTCAAAAATTCAAACAAGAAAGCAAATGATGAACAAACTAATAGTAGAAGACCAATGACCTCTTTTTCTCGCCAATTTTATGAGTGAGCGGTACCCACATATGGTCACGCAGTGATAATGAAATAACTGAAGAATCGTCTCTTTGATGAAGGCGATTGCTTGTCATTTGTTGCGGAAATAAATCGTGAATAAAAGAAGATCCTCTAGATAGGCAGGTGAAGCCGTCTTCAACGATAAAATTAGGTTTCTGGATGTTTCTTTCAGCATATATTTGAAATGACCAACTGAAAACTACAATATGTGAAGGTCTAACTGAAAAAAATACAGTTTGAGTGATGAATAAAATGATTCTATAACCTGACCTGACTTATCAGTTTCTCCCAAATCTCCAATCCAATATTATTGTGTCCTATACTAATTTGTATAGGCCAATTGCTGGAAGCCAGCTGCATAAGTGGTCAATTACTAGAATTGGTTTTTGACACTGGATGAGGTGACATGGACTCGGTCCCAAGTTGAAACCGTTCAACAGAAGGTACATGCTGAAACTCACAAAACATCTTCACTTTCGCCAGTGCACAGAAATGAGTCGATATATGAAGTTTTCTTCAATAATATCGGAGACATCAGCTCATCTAGGGAGCTGAGCTCTTCCTTTTTCAGACCAAAATTGACCAAGTCAGAAGAAGAGTGGTTGATCATAGCCTATCCAGATAATAACTTCAACACCACTCTTCTGTCATCTTGTACCAATGATACAAGGAATTTACAATCATATCCAGCACATCTATGTTATTGCCAAAATACTGGTGGTGCACTCATTGCAAAGGATATCAAATCTGTTGTAGGCAATGAGATGTGTCAAATGCATTTTAAGTAACCAAATACGCTGTATCTTTCGACTGATGCCAGCTGATGAGCCTGATTTGGTTTTTCTCGATCGGAAAGAATTGATGAAGTTTTTCCTCGAACCATTCAGACCTTACTCAAATCACTTTGTCCAAAGGTTTGATCATAAAAGACTTGTAAAAATCTACTTATGAAACAAATAGACTTCCCACACTGATATATATATTGATATTATACTCTGGGATGAAATGTGAGTGTGATATTAGTAAAAATAACAAAGTATTTTGCAAATGCGATTTTTATATTGGTTGGGAAAGGGATCAAAAATGTTCGTAGATACACAATTCAGTTTTATGCCAACGTTTCGGACTTTATTTAATCCATCATCAGGGCGCAAACATTAGTTATCCATGTCAAAAAAATATTTAATATGTGTCAGGACTAAACTCAGACAACATAGGTACAAACGAAAATGAGGACCAACCTCATTTTCGTTTGTACCTATGTTGTCTGACACATATATTTTAAACGTTCTTTATAAATTTTGCAATATGAATTGGCATATACTGTTCACTTTTAAAATTATTTTATGTTTGAGCCCTGATGATGGAATTAATAAATTCCGAAACGTTGGCACAAAACTAAATTGTTTATCTACAAACATTTTTGTTCCCTTTCCCATCCAATATAAAAAGCCGCATTTGAAAATATTTTGGATCACCAAACCAGGAAAAGTTTTTTACTTCATCAAATTTCCGATTTCAGCAGTTTGGAATTGAAACAATTTCAGAAAATTAATATTCAAAAGTTTTGTGAAATTCTTCAATACAAAAGTTCATGTTATCTTCTTCATATTTTCATCAATATACCAATCAATGACCAATCAAACGGGCAGGATATTAAGGAATCGAATCCAGGAAAATCATACGAGCTATGTAAATAAGAAAAAAAATTCAACATATTCAAATCATCTTCTAGAAGAGAATCATATCTTTGACGGAGAGTTCGAAATCTTGCACATAGAAAATGAAGGTTTAATGCTCAGCCATTTTGAAGCAACGGAAATTAATAAACTCAAAAATTCAAACATACTAATGAATGATCAATTGTATTTGAATAGATCGCACCATTATTGAACTTGTTTCCTTAAAAACCGAGAAAGAAGTATTATTGATGTAGATGTGAGGTTATATCCTTCAGGTAATCATAATTGAACAGGTACCCTAGGTAGAGGTTTAGGTAATTTCAAGGTAGATTCAATTGTGATTACCTGTAGTGTATAAATATTAATGTAAGAACAATAGGAGTATAAATCACTTGAAAAAGCTACTGTGCTAGCGAAACATGTTGTGATATTTTTTTTATCGACCTTTTTTGGGTATTTGTTACCTTCCACAATCTGAAAAATATAAAAATTATAATGGAGAACTTTATACAAGTGTAGAAGAGCAAACTTTTTAGTTTACCCCGATAAGTTGCTGCGTAAAAATCAAGGTATTTTTCACAAAGAAAAATCTTCTGTTTATCAGTAACTTGTCGTATTTAACAATTTTGCCTATCAAAAAAAAATGTTAAGAAATAATACTTATCTTTTACGTTTCGGAGGCCAAAATCTGCCTCTGTCTTCAGAAATGGATAAAAAATTCGAATACATTCGCAGTTATTCCTTTTTTGGTAGTTTATTTCTTTACTTCTTCGACAGATGTCAAAGAAGTTTTGAAATATGAAATTATGTTAATGCTGTTGATTGACAACTGAAACATTCGATGTGATATAAGGTACTCTCCGATATCAATCTATTGCCATTTCGCCACTATCCAAAGTTTTCTTCAGGATGGGTAGCCAAGTACGGTCTATATCTAAGGAGCTATTCGAGATACAATTTTTTCCAGACATGAGAATATACGCTGATTCTTTTAGCTTACGTCTCTTAGAACGAGGCTCATTGGTAATCATTCTTGTCCTATTCCATTCCACCCGATGTTCACCGTCTGATTTTAAAAAAAATATCAGAACACATTTTAAAATCAGACGGTGAACATCGGGTGGAATGGAATAGGACAAGAATGATTACCAATGAGCCTCATTCTAAGAGACGTAAGCTGAAAGAATCAGCGTATATTCTCATGTCTGGAGAGAATTGTATCTCGAATAGCTACTTACATATAGACCGTACTTGGCTACTCATCCTGAAGAAAACTTTGAATAGTGGCGAAATGGCAATAGATTGATATCGGAGAGTACCTTGTATTACATCGAATGTTTCAGTTGTCAATCAACAACATTGACATAATTTCATATTTCAAAACTTCTTTGACATCGGTCGAAGAAGTAAAGAAATAAACTATCAAAAAATGAATAACGACGAATATATTCGAATTTTTTATCAATTTCTGAAGACGGAGGCAGATGTTGGCCTCCGAAACGTAAAAGATAAGTATTATTTCTTAACAATTTTTTTTGATAGGCAAAATTGTTAAATACGACAAGTTACTGATGAATAGAAAATTTTTCTTTGTGAGAAATACTTTGATTTTTACACAGTTACTTATCGGGGTAAACTAAAAAGTTTGCCCTTCTATACTTGTATAAAGTTCTCCATTATAATTTTTATATTTTTCAGACTGTGGAAGGTAACAAATACTTAAAAAAGGTCGATGAAAAACTGAATTTTTTCCTTCACAAAAAATGACTTTCGTTGAATATGTTGTGATATATTTTTCAAAATAAAGTTTGTGAAGATCAAATCGTGAGGTGTAGTTTTTGAAAGCAATATAAATGAATTTGTTGTATACGATATTCTGATTTGATACATCAAAGTCCCATATAAAACGTGTATTCTTGTTTGAGGTTAGAGGGAGCAATGAAATATAGACAAACAGCAACAACAGTAACGCCCTTAAATATTCTCCTTGACATCTTGTAAGGGAGGTCAACGTATGCAACAACACTTCTTCATGATATGACATTTTATATGTTTCACAACACAAATGATGTTTACAGTATATACTGACCACTACTAGTACAAGAGATTGGACAAAACATAAATCATGGAATATAACGTGGAACGAACACCAAACAAATTAAACGGGGTGTCTGCAAGATAAGAACAGATTGAGATTCTTGACTTTATGAGGGTTCCAAGACACTCAATAATGATATGTAATGAAGGAAAAATTCTCCGTTCGCTTAACTTTTGAAAGGGCAAAGATATGAAAATTGGTCAAAATTGACGTAGGAAGGTATTATTTTGGGTACTGCTTGATGAAAAAAAAATGATGTCACATATATTTTTTATTTTTCAAATGGAAAGGGGGGTTTTGTGATACCCTTTTTGGTAAGTATTCCAATTCTCTATCCAACCCTTTCATTTTTAAAATGAATCAACCGTTTCTAAATACTCAACAGTTTCATATTCCTATTGAGAATCTATGAACAAACGATGCATTATCACAATACATTGTTAGAATATTTACCATTCATTTACTGAAAATGATGAAGGGTTGTTTCTGAGTCATTCTGCATATCATGAAATTTTTATAGTGTAATTCCATTACGAGCACCTCTATTTATGTCTTGAGGTTCCAGGAATTCTCACAGAAAATCTAAAGGCGTCATATCCGGTGATCGAGCGGGCCTTTCTAAAGGACTACGTTCTCCTGTCCACCGATTTGAATATTCCTTGCTGGATGGTAACGTTAGATGAAAACTCATTAGGATTTGTTGATCCAAACTTGTAGATAAAATGACAAGATCCCTCAGAAGGGACACCACACCGCTCGATATGACGCTTCTAGATGCTTTTGATGAGTTACGTGACATCTGAAGTGAACGATGTACGATCGCAGTTCATTTGAGAACTGTATAGAAAAAAGGTACGATTTTTTTTATATATAATATCCATCGTTTCTGTACAGAATCTTTAAATAGATAAAACCGCTAATTACTCGGGAATGGCTGATTAGAATTCCAAAAATAAAACATTGCACATGAGATGATTGAAATACCAATCAAACTGGTGATCACAAGGCCTACCTTTCCATTTGGAATAAAAATTAAGAATACGTTATCATTGTTGGGTGATGCATTTCCCATCAGAATGTATTTTTTTATCAGACTTCGACATATTGTCTCATTCCAAATATAAGATGGGGAAGACCTCGTCATATGTGAGGACTGAACCAATGATGGTGTATTAAAATCATCAGTAAATGGATCAATGAGAAAAATATGTAATACTGGAATCATATATTTACAAAGCGTATGTGATGAAAATAATTGAAGCATTCATTCATATTTGAATGAACTTATGTGAATTTCATGATTGTACCAGTTTCTCAGTCCAGAAATTGCTTACTGAGATTTATATTTCATCAAATTTTTTCAATTCTTCACAATTTATGAGCTGAATTCCAATATCGATGAAACATACAATTTTTGAAGATGACATTTCTACCTCAACATCACTACTGTCTGTACAGTTTTGTTCTAAAAAAGGCCGAAATTCATGTC